GAAATTAGTTAAATTGAATAGTTTTCTGTACTACAACTAGCAATAAAAAAACATTCAAACAGTTTCACAAAAGGACAAACGATAAACAGAAATACGTTGGATTACAATACAACCAAGAGTAATGAGAGTTAACATTTGCTTTAAATAAATAGTAAATTATAGGGTAAAGAGTGGGAAATTTGTTTTTATATAGCTTGATCGTTTGTACGTCTAACATTAAGCAATGTACAATATACCAAATGTTTGTTATTTTAAAAAAATCATTCAAAAACATAACGATTTGAATGAATAAACAAGTCTTAGAAATATAAGGTACTAGGCCTATGTTGCAAATGTGGCACATGGTTGTAATTAGTGGAACAATGATCTGCCCGCATGTACCGCCAACTGTTCACGAAGAAGTAGAAACACTGTGTACATTACTTTTCCATACCAGTTAAATAGCTGATACACCTTGCAGGATTAAAGTGATATTTTAGTTTAGTTCTGAATTTATGTTTATAATGGTGACATAATAAAATAGTGGTTTTTAATAAGTTTTCTCACAGAAACATTGCAAACCAAAATCCAAACACTTTTCGTAATATGTACATAATAACAAACTTTTCACTTGACGATCTTATAAAATGCAAAGACAAAAGTGGAAATATTTCAATTGCGAATGTTTGCTGTATACCAGATAGCAATCATAAACAGCATAAAAGAATGTGTATGATGGGTCTCTCATTAGTCTGTAGTGGAACTAGCTAAAGACAACATCTCATTAACAACAAATTATATCGCAAACATTGCAAAGGTAACATGTACAAATAGTTATCTCCAACAGTTTTATGTCGTATATATAGCTAATTTCTCAAATTTAACAAAATTCCTACTATGTTTCCAATAAAAGAAGCAAACTTTGAGTGTATAATATGCATGAACAAAAAAATCGTAATTTACTCTTCTTACCAATGCAAACACTGTTTCGCTTGCGACATGTGTGGATGACAATTTGACAACTGTTGTTACTGTAGTAGACCTAACTCTATGATCCAAATGTTTAGTTTAGCTTAGATCTGTATTAGGTTTAAGTTTGAAAACAATTATATTCCTCGTATGTCAATTTTGATTTTTCAATAAAGAATTTAAAAATCAGCATATCGGTACTTATCCCTTTACCGATATGCTGTTTTTTTTTTAAACCACAACAATAACCTTGAAAATATCGATCCACCTAACTTTCACACCTCAGCATGTCGTCATCATGACGTCACCATACCGTAACCCACCACACCACGTGCTAGGTCACGCACCATTACCACCAGATGCTTAACCGTCAATTAAGCACCACATGGCTCTTGTGACGTCACTCCTCAGCAGCCCTATGTATCCACTACTGTGGGTGTATTTTGAGTTTGCAGTTATGAAAGCACCAAGCCAAGTAACTTTTTTCAAATTTTCTTTATAAACTAACAGTATTAATGAATTACTACATGAACTTGACAAGTCAGGAAATTAATTGTCAGTTTACCAAGGGGAAGAAGAGTGGGTCCTTGAAACAGACGAAGGCGCAGACACCCAGTGGATTGCCAAGACACAGATTAGACTAATAAAAGGGGGCAGTGGTTTTATTGATGAGGAATATTAATACATCAAAAAGGGCCTTATTAATGGCACAAGGCTTTGTGATCAGAATGGTTAACAACTTAATAGAATGTAAAGTCTTAACTGGAACAAGTGAGTGGGGACATATTTTGATTTCGAGGATAAAAATTTACCCGTCTGAAACAAACTTACCTTTTAAAATGGAAAGATGCTAATTTCTGTTACCTTTGGCATTTTCAGTGCTGTTCTCACCCAGACCAATTTTAGTCATGAGCAACTATATTATATGTTGTTTTAAGTAGGCTACACCTATTAATAGGATAAGCATATTCGTTAAGGAAAACTCTGACCAAGGTAATCTTCCTGAAGGTAACTTTAAGGCTAAAATCGTAGTATTCATGGAAGTGCTTTTGTGATAAAAATATTTTTTTTAGTGTTTGTTTTCTTCAAGCAGCATTTTTATGACCCTCAAAATATGCTACATAGGCCTATTGGTTTGATATGATAAAATGTTTTTTTTTTAAATGTGTTATAAAATCTTTAAAACATAACTACCCTATAACCTTGCTCGCTGCCTATAACATACTTGAACTTGAACACTTATTAATTTACTAAATATAATACACATACAGCTAGAAAATGGCTGGACATCTTCCCTTCCAAGGCTTCATTATTATTGTATTTAATTTTCGACGTCGAGTCAATATATGATACGATGAATTTGTTTTCTAAATGCATATGTTATTTTGCGGCGCATTGAGCCGCACAGGTTCACTAGTACTTATTTAATACGCAAGCACGATTTTTGTGACAATTACTCCTCCGAAACTACTGAACCGATTGACATGTTTTTGGTGTCATTGGAAAGAGCGTAACGTGAAGTTGTGCAGGAAACTTTCTTTTTAGGTAAATAATTAGAGAGTGAGGCCCTAGGGACCTTTAAAGTTTCGTATTTCTCCATAAGATTAACATAGGGAACAAACATTGTTTTGAAACTCCAGCTGCTGTCAGAAATTTAATATTAAATAATTGGTCTCCATGGAAACATGAGAAAATCCACAATGTTTACATTTGCTTTGACATTTTATTGTTAACAAGCAGAACTGTCAAATGCCTACTTCACAAATTCCGACAGCTGATCCAAAAAAATGTATTTTGCTTCCACCGTGTAAAACAACTATGTGGTAGGTTTATTTCTTCCTAAGCTTTATGATAAATTATTTATTATAAATCTATTTCAATGATTATGAAACAGATTTTTCCCGCTGCGAAGCAAAAATTAATAGTGAGAAGAAGAACATATGTAAAACAGTCAATGTGTAAATTATCTATGTTGTATTAAAAATGTTTTTAGTTTTGGATGTTGGTTTGTGTTAAATGATATCAGTTATTAGTTATTTCTAAGGATTTGGCATATGAGTAAGCCTATGATAAATAACACCATTTCAGAGTTCTGCCAGTTTTTGCCTAACTCTGTCCTGTAGAGTTTAAAGTAGCCTACACCTTATTGCCTACAAATTGGCTAAATAACTTAGGTACGGTACATTATAAAAGCTGACAGCCTTTTTACGTTGACTTAAATTGTAAGCTTACCTTTTCCCGTACATGTGCAGATTGATTGTTAAAAATTAACCCTTTAAACTGGAATAGGACTGTCATGTAAATTGTGAGCATTTCCTTTTGTTAATAATATTTTAGTTGACTCTTTTAAAATCTTCAGAAATTATGACTGTTATTAGTTTTTAAACAAGTTATTTGTTTATAAATAACTCCTGTACTTCTTTGCAAATGCTCGATTTCGAGCAACATATACACTAGTATTTATTTATTTCTCAAACCTGAGTGTTTTGTTTTTACTACATCGATGATGACAAAAAAACTTAGTATATGTGCTTTCTACGATTCTTTACCCCACAGATTAAATCAGATTAAATTCACTTTTAAGAAATCAAACAATAACAACTAAAAATTTTGTACCGCATGGATTCTTTAGCTTTTATATTCTTTATTTACGACATAGCCTTCATATTGACATAGCTACCAACCATTCCATGTATATTTAACAATTCCATCTTCAAACATCGCCTCTTATCGTTTCTTTGTTGCAGGTTTCAATGAAAGGTTATGTTGTGTCGAATTTGTTCCTGACAGGAAACTGTTATAAGTTTTATCAGTTTTGATTTGGTTCTTTACCAAGGGACGTAGAACACTCTGTTGTATCCTTAGAGTTTTTTTTAAACTCACTAAGCCCTTTATGGTTCGTTAGCTCATACACCCATGCTAAAAATACCCCCTAAGCATGGTCCAAGATTGTATGTAACTCTCTTGGACACCAGGACACCTATAACTATTAAAGCGAAGTTGGCTGACTCCGCGGCCAAACTGTCATACTACGCAATAGTCCGTAATCCTTTCAATCTGACTAAGGAGGAATTTCATTCAATAGTTATCTATGCCATGACTGGTGGACAGACGTTAACGAAGGAAGGGTTGCACGTGCCAGACCCTGTTTTTTTACACATTCAGTTTGTGTGGCTTTGTCAAGGGTGCGTTTTTCAGTGAAAACTATGTCTGTGTAAAAACAAAACCATCGAAACAAAAAACGTATATGGCTATATTATTAGGGCCTACTTCAAAAATAGTGTTCAAATAGGTGTTACAGGACGTAAACATGTAAACACGTAAATAACATAGCATTATATTTTGAAAAGGTCAATTATCTAAAATTTAAACCCATATATTCCTAAAGTAAGGACCCATAGTTAAATCAACGATGCACTTACTACGCAAAATTAACTGTATGTTGTGTGCCTCAATAAGTGGGATCTGTGAAGGATTCTGTGTGAATGCTTCGCACGGGTCGGCTAGTTCAATTTTAATTTAATATTCCTACTACACTATATCATGTAAAACCTTTAGTTTTAATAATCTAGTTTAAGAAGGTTATACAGTATTTGTTTGAATATTAATCCATTATATTTTACCACAACTGTTTGTTTTCCCCTATCGCTGGGATTCCCGTTTAGGAATAGCCTACATCACCTGCGAACCCATTAACAAGAAGAAAACAATACCAAACGACACTCGACACTGCCCTGGTCGGCCAGACTTGATCCTGACACCACGGATGTGAACGGAGAACCACAGTAAGAGTAAGGTCAATGCTACACTGGACGTCCTTCGCTCACAGGCTCGACTCAACAAACAACATTACCTAAAACAATACCAAACGACACTCGACACTGCCCTGGTCGGCCAGACTTGATCCTGACACCACGGATGTGAACGGAGAACCACAGTAAGAGTAAGGTCAATGTTACCCTGGACGTCCTTCGCTCACAGGCTCGACTCAACAAACAACATTATCGTAACTAGAACTATTGAAACAATAAAAAATACACAATACTACATACTCCCAGACTTGATCCTGACACCACGGATGTGAACGGAGAACCACAGTAAGAGTAAGGTCAATGTTACCCTGGACGTCCTTCGCTCACAGGCTCGACTCAACAAACAACATTATCGTAACTAGAACTATTGAAACAATAAAAAATACACAATACTACATACTCCCAGACTTGATCCTGACACCACGGATGTGAACGGAGAACCACAGTAAGAGTAAGGTCAATGTTACCCTGGACGTCCTTCGCTCACAGGCTCGACTCAACAAACAACATTATCGTAACTAGAACTATTGAAACAATAAAAATACACAATACTACATACTCCCAGACTTGATCCTGACACCACGGATGTGAACGGAGAACCACAGTAAGAGTAAGGTCAATGTTACCCTGGACGTCCTTCGCTCACAGGCTCGACTCAACAAACAACATTATCGTAACTAGAACTATTGAAACAATAAAAATACACAATACTACATACTCCCAGACTTGATCCTGACACCACGGATGTGAACGGAGAACCACAGTAAGAGTAAGGTCAATGTTACCCTGGACGTCCTTCGCTCACAGGCTCGACTCAACAAACAACATTATCGTAACTAGAACTATTGAAACAATAAAAATACACAATACTACATACTCCCAGACTTGATCCTGACACCACGGATGTGAACGGAGAACCACAGTAAGAGTAAGGTCAATGTTACCCTGGACGTCCTTCGCTCACAGGCTCGACTCAACAAACAACATTATCGTAACTAGAACTATTGAAACAATAAAAAATACACAATACTACATACTCGTGTGAAACCAGAATAGCGTAATTTTGAGCATCGATTCATGTCCTGTATGAGCCGGTTATTTTTTATAAATTCATAAGGGTTATTTTTTACTATACTCCAAGACGTTATTACATTGCCGAAACCTACAATTATTTTAATTTTCCCTCGTTTCAAATATTACATCAAACTAATCTATTACAGTTGACTTTAATATATTCAGTACGATAATAGTATATGCAAGAATTAAACCCTTGGAAAATCTACAACCTATCCAAAGTCAACCGCAAACTAGAGGACGTACATTCGACTCAGTTAAAATATCTGACTTTCTCACACTGCGTGCAGACCCTTATTACCCTCGTGTACCTGACCACTGGAGATAAAAGTACATTACGGACGTTGATGCAATTGTACATCCTCATTCTTTACCATCGCAGGGCGGTCAATAGCACAGGAAATTTCACTTTGAAGGCTTAGAGAAAAATTAAAAAATAGAAAAAAGTAGCCAAACCGTGCGAAGCATTCACACAGAATCCTTCACAAATCCCACTTATTGAGGTACATAACACACTACAGTTAATTCTGAGTATTAAGTGCATCGATCCTTACTTCAGGAATAGATGTGGGTTTACATTTTAGATAATTTTCATTACATTTACATTTTACATTTACATTATTTACATTTTAGATTACCTTTTCAAAATATAACGTTAAAGCTATTTAGGGTTTTACATGTTTAAAGGACCTGTTTGAACACTATTTTTGAAGTAATAATATGTTCATATATGATTTTTGTTTTGATGGTTTTGTTTTTACACAGACATACTTTTCACTGAAAAATCGCACCCTTGACAAAGCCACCCAAACTGAGTGTGTAAAAAACAGGGTCTGGCACGTGCAACCCTTCCTTCGTTAACGTCTGTCCATATGCCGATATGCTTTATTTAAGTGATGGCAAATGTTACTTTTAAGGGGAATTCCTTCTTAGTCAGTTTGAAAGGATTACGGACTAGTGCATAGCATGACAGTTTGAACAGAGTCAGCCAATTTCGCTTTGATAGGGTAGGTGCCCAAGTGAGATACAACCAATCTTGGTCCATGATTAGGTTTCTCATCAACATTATAATAGAGTTCTTTTTAGCGTGGGGTTATGAGCTAACGAACCTAAAGGGCTTAATGAGTAAAAAAAAACTCTAATGGATAAAAGAGCGTTCTACGTCCCTTGGCAAAGAACCGAATGAAAACATATATAAACCATTTCCTGTCGGTAAGAATCTCAACACAAAATAACTATTAGTTGAAACCTGAAGTAAAGAAAAGATAAGAGATAAGAGGTGATATTTGAAGATGGAATTGTTAAATATTCATGGATCATGGAACGGTTGGTAGTTATGTCAATATGAAGGCTATGTCGTAAAGAAAGAAATATAAAAGCTAAAGAATGCATGCGGTACAAAATTTTGAGTTGTTCTTGTTTGATTTCTTAAAAGTGAATCTGATTTCATCCCTGGGGTTATTAGTCGTAGAAAGCTTAGACTAAGTTTTTTTGTCGTCATAGATGAAGTAAAAACAAAACACTCGGATTTGAGAAATAAATATTCGTTTGTTTTGGTTAATTTAATTCACACGTTTCAGCTGATCGAATAACGTAAATAAACATTTCAAGTTTAAATTACTTGCAGAATGACATAAAAGATCGTTTTTAAGAAAACTACTGAAAATGAGCGATTTGTATACTTTCATAACGTAGTGGGCAAAAAAAGCTTTAAAATGACACTTCATCTATGAAAATTGGTGAAGAATTAAGGAAGTGATGGTGTACCGACAAAAAAGTACTTTAGAAATTATAATACCGGTATAGGCTACAGGGTGTTTCCAAATTGTCTGGACATATTTTGTGGACTTGTTCCTTGGGCTAAGGCAAACATAAAATGCCACATATAAGTATGGGTCTAAAATGCATAGATTTCTGTGTGTCGGTCTGTTTGTGATTTTTAAGAATTATTTCATATCTTGGGCATTTTCAAGATAGAAATTTCAAAATTGGTATAAATGTGTATTTTAGTAGGTAAAAAGAGCTTACAAAGTTTCGTTCCAGCATCTCAAGCCGTATCAATATGGCGGCCATTTAAAATTTGTAATGCAAAATTTCATGAAAATCGTAAATATTAAGAAAATAGTTTGTCGAATCAAAAAGATAGAGAATTTAAATCCAAATCAAATGAGACCTTGTTTGTTAAAATCGGATGACAAACAATCAAGTTATCAGTTTTTTTTTCTACATTCAGTTGAGTAATTTGATAGGACTACCATTACCTCCGTAAAATAACAAATAATAAATAATATTGAAGTCCTAATTGAGCGAATATCTTTGAGATCGGAACTTATGTCAACAATGTAATCAGATAACTCAATAACGGCTGAACATATTATACTAAGATAGCCAAACTTTCCGGGGTTATTTTGACAAACAGTGAACATGTTATTACACAAACAAATTTCAATTTGATAATGTCTGCACAAATGAAAACTAATCTAAAATTTTTAACAATGGCCTTATAGGTTGCTATGATGGTTATGAGGTTAGATTTTAAGTCCAGTCATAACTAAGCTTACGTCTCTGATATGATATTTACGGTATTAGAAAAATTGTTACAGCCAACAGAACCGCATGTTGACATTTTTATGTCAGGTTAGTAATTTACTACAATCCAATCTAATATGTTTTACACTAACACAGTGCAGGCTCAACAACTCAAATTCAATGGCGTATCCTAATACAGAAACGTATTTTATATTGGTTTTAATAATTTTGTTGTAGTCTATTATAAATGTATTTGATTTATTCATGCTGTAATTTACATGCCAAGGCCTTAACAAACACATCTTAATTTCAAAAGGTTGTCGTGTGATACTTCAAAGTAATCTTTGGACTGCTACAGGCATGGTAGTATAGGTACGGTAGCTTCATAATAATATATGTATATTATACAAATTTACCGAAACAGAAAATTACCTAAAAGATTTCCAAATTCGCATTTTAGTACAATTTGGCCCACACATTTATTTTTTGAAAATAAATTGGACCCACATTGTACAACGGGTTCTTCGTTGCCTATCCTCCAATATGGTGTAAAATGTTCTCAAAGGCAATATCCAATAAATCTTGTCTATCGATTTCGGTACATTGCAGTCAAAAATGAACTGTAGATCAGGCTGTGAAAGAAAAGTCAGAATTTTATTTTTACTTACGTAGCATTGTCAAGAGTTAGAACAATCGAGGGCTTGCTTATTAAGCCATTTTCTATTGAGAGAGTCAAAAGCATAAATAAGATAAGCAAATGGCAAGTAAAGAAAAAAGAGATGGCAAGACAATTGCTTATAACGATGGGTTAAAATCATGAGGTTTATTGAACAACAACATTTACTCATGTTAGCGAATGCATTTATTTCATACTAAACTGTTTACATTTAGTTAAAAACACTTTTTTACCATCCCTGTCGCAGCAAATCTAAGTACTCGATAAACTAATTATATTTAAATAGAGAATTAAAATGTGATATTTTTAATGAGTTATTTTAGTGTAAATCCAATCAGGCAAATGGAAATTCGCTTAATCTGTAGGTTTGCTGCGGCGGGGGTATTTTACACACTCAGTTTATGTGGCTTTGTCAAGGGTGCGATTTTTCAGTGAAAACTGTGTCTGTGTAAAAACAAAACCATCAACACAAAAAACGTATATGAACATATTATAACTTAAACGATAGTGTTTAAACAGGTCCTTTAAACATGTAAAACCCTAAACTTAACATTATATTTTGAAAATGGTCAATTTTCTAAAATGTAAACCCACATCTATTCCTGGGATATTTTCATGTTGTAATCTATAATATTTTGTATAAAAAATTGTATTCGTAAATAAAGACATTTGTTTATATCAATGCTTGCTCACTCCGCTTAATTGGTAGACATGAGGCCGCATACCTAGTAAATTGCGTAACCGAATGTAGAAGAAAACTGTTAACTCGGTTGTTTGTCATCCGATTTTAACAAACAAGGTCTCATTTGATTTGTATTTAAATTCTCTATCTTTTTGATCCGACAAACTATTTTCTTCATGTTTACGATTTTCATGAAATTTGGCACTAAAGATTTTAAATGGCCGCCATATTGAAACGGCTTGAGATATTGGACCGAAACTTTGTAATCTCATTTTACCTACTAAAATACACATTTATACCAATTTTAAAATTTCTATCTTGAAAATGACCAAGATATAAAATAATTCTTAAAAATCACAAACATGCCGACAAACAGAAATCTATGCATTTTAGACCCATACTTATACATGGCATTTTATGTTTGTCTTAGCCTAAGGAACAAGTTCACAAAATATGTCCAGACAATTTGGAAACACCCTGTAGATATAAATAATTGGTTTTAAACTAGTAAACCTTAATCCAAACTAACGAGGAGGAAAAGCGTACAAAGTCTTACTGATGTCTGATCTGAAACAAATTCTTCAAATTATATCGCGAATAATGATGGAGAACCCCGATAAATGCAGGAAAGGCAGGTAAAATTAGTGTCACATGTCAATAACAATTTAGCTCTATAGTTACGTCACTTACGGCTTGAAAATTGTGTTACGAGAAAATCTTATTACAAGTCTACATAATTTTCTGACACGTCTTTCCCAAAACTCCCCTTCTATATCATATTGTATCAGTGAATTAACGTGTAACATGTAAATTTTCAATGGCTCAAAACTTCAATGGCGACGATAAAGCAAGCTGTAAATATACTGTCTTTATTGTCTTAGCTTTACGCTTTGTCACTACAAACCATACATAATGAGGCGACAATAAAGTTTAAGTTGCGACTGAGTTTGCATGATAACAAATTGTAAAAACAAGGCGAGAATATAAATACTTATTAGGTGTATGTGGGCATAAAACACAATGTTGTGTAGATACAGTATACTTACTGTAGTTGTGTTTTGAAATGTGCCAGCCGATGTTAAAGGGTGTGCCCAGCACAGGCTTTATAATGTTAGGGTTCCTGGTAGTTCACTCACATCTATGGGATATTGTGAGGATTTAGTATTTTGTATATTTTACTGTATTGAACTATGTAGCCTGCGTGGGAATAGAGAGAATGTAAGCGAATAGAATAGTAATCGACATGAACGATAGTTCTGTATGAAATATTTGAGTTAGAATCACAAACACAAATGAAGAGTGTTCTTGCGTATTATATTTCTATTAGATTCTATAGCATTCATTCATCTATATACATTAGTGTGGATATTGTTCAATAGAAGAAGAAACACGTGCTTTGTTGATGGATTTGTTTTAAAAGTTGTGTTTTAACCACGTTTTAACCCGGTTTGTAAGTTTAGTGACATGTCACAATTAAAGTGGCGATTTAATAGCGAAGAAGATGATAAATTGATCGAATGAGCCATTTCAGCACACCTAGCTTTTCTAGAACGGATGGGTGTTTTTCTATTAATAATTTATTAATATCTATATTCAGGTCTCTTTAAAAACATAGAGCGCACTTCTTCCCTGGGTTCGCACAACTTTCTAAAATCCCTTTATCGTCCAACTCCTCAGCTTTTGCTGTTTACAGTTATTTCACATACATCACCCCTTTACCCACCAAAGAAAATTACTAACTAATCAAATAATCGTACGGAACAGACGCTTCTGGCAAAATAGACCCGAGCGATACCAGCCACTTCTGGCAAAACATGCCTTAAAACAATCGTCACAAAGTAAGTTAGTGCCACCAAATGAAGAATCGCCCTAAAACTCTTGACGGCGCGGCGCGAGGGGGCGTCAAACTAATGGCACTAAATATCTAGCCCCCCCCTCTATTGTCTGTTCTGTTATTGAGATTCATTATTTAAGACCGACATTTTCCTGTCAGTGTTATCAGTGTACACCTCATAGGTTATCCATCAATGATGTGTTATTGTATGGAAGGTACTAGTAGTGCAGACCAGCAGACGCACTCGATACCCGTGATCTTTGCGTAGTAATCTTGTCACAAGATAACAAGTACTCGAATGCACTGAATGAGTGATCAGTAGAATTTATTGATTGTAAAGTAGTTGAGTAGCATTGGCGGGTGTGGCGATGCTGATGTCACTTCACTTGACTCTGTCGTCTGTGGTCGGCCTCGGTGCACCAGTGGTGTTGCTTGAGCGTATCGCGCCGGAAGTTGACCTTAGGGTAGGAACGAATGGGTTTCCGCAAGTTTTTCACTAACGCGACGTCCTCCAAAGTAGGCGCAGTGGAGCTACGATGTGTTTCACTATTTACAGGTACTCATATATTTTTGTACGCTTAATTTGTCACGTAGTTGTTGATATTGAACTACCTTATAAATAATTCCAGTTAATCAATTATTAATGTGTGTCGTTTTACAATATAGTACAGATTTAGTGCCAATGCTGTCATACATACACAAGTCATGTTGTTAGTAATGTGTTAGCTCAGTTATCAACGAGTGCATAGCTAGCTTTATCTGTGGGTTGCACGCTTTCGATTAATCAATTATCTACTATGCAACGAAGTCAAGCAAAGTTCACTATTGTTTGATAACACGTTTAAGAAGACTTTATCTTGAATTTCACCACCCTCTCTCAGAGGAGGGATTTCCTGCGGCAATCTCTTGTTACACTATGTCTAGGACCTAAAATACCCATAATCCACAGAAAGGAAGGATATTCTAACTAAGTTGGTAGCATTTTAGCACCGTCGTTGTCGTCGTGACACAATACTTGTCAGTCTGTGTGTGTGTGTTGAGTGTTATCACTTGTCTACCGTGTTAGACTGTTGACACCTGTGATAACGAAGACCTTCAGTTTAAACCAGATCAGTCGGGAAGTGGCTAAACCTACGGGGAATGTCAATACTATCGATTGGGCTCATATCATTAATAATAATATTTAACTAATACGATAACAGAAATTAGTAGGTAACAATTTTGGCACCGATTAAAAGGTTAACTCGAAATTATTTCCCTGCACTTTTCCTGTTGTTTACGAAGGCCATGTATAAGAGCTGGCAAGAGTCTGCCCCATCCGAACTCATGTGTTTTATCAAATTTATCTATAGGAAAGAAACTGTTAGTTACTGTAGGTGACATGGTAATACCTAGATCTATGCTCTGATAATCGAAAGAATGTGCCTTGCGGAGCGGCCGTGCGGTGAGCGAGTTTGAGTATAAACATATTTCACAAGTTTGTGAAATATAATGTTTATACTCAAACTCGCTCACCGCACGGCCACTCCGCAAGGCACATTCTTTCGATAATCAGAGTAAAGATTGATTTAGAAACTGTAACTAGACCCAGAACCGATTTACTTTTTCATTTTGATGTTCTTAGAGGCCAAGACAATATTCTTTCAAATTATTATAGAGTACATGTAACTTATGTATTATTTATGTATATATGTGTGTGTGTGTGTGTGTGTATATGTGTCCGTAGAGCTTTATTCTATTAATATCCTATAGAAACTTCATACAGTTTGCAATTCAGCAAATTTGGATAATGAGAACGGGGTGTTATAAGTTTTTGAAATTGTTCGGAAATTTGTTTTTTACAGTTTTCATTCGACTAGAGTTTACTAAATGTTGTGACCGTACTATTAAAATACACGCACATTGTAACTTATATAACTTTACTAGCTGACCCGGCGAACTTCGTATCGCCAAAGTTATAGGTTTCCCCTAAGACAGACCGATGGAAAGAAAGTACCGTTAAGTTTAATTTTCAAGATGATCTCGTTCGCATCGCTCAATCACGTCCTGGTTGAAGTTCGTTCGCTACGCTCACTCACCTTTGGGTTGGAGCTCGTTCGCTACGCTCACTCACCTTTAGGTTGGAGCTCGTTCGCTGCGCTCACTTGCCTTCAGGTTAGCTCGTTCGCTACGCTAACTCGCCTCCAGGTTGAAGTTCGTTCGCTAAGCTCACTCACCTTTGGGTTGGAGCTCGTTCGCTACGCTCACTCACCTTTAGGTTGGAGCTCGATCGCTGCGCTCACTTGCCTTCAGGTTAGCTCGTTCGCTACGCTAACTCGCCTCCAGGTTGAAGTTCGTTCGCTACGCTCACTCACCTTTTGGTTGCAAATTAGCTGTTGTCATAAATGTAAAAGAAATAATAGTGCTGCACCCTGTTGGTAATCCTTGTAACTTTAATGCTATTGAACATCATAGAACAGAACCAACTTGTTTAATTGAAACAGCTGTTAAGATTCATTAATTCCATTTCTCATAAGGTTAACATGGGAAACTCCAGAGCCACTGGGGCGGAGCCCTTTTAAGAATTTCGAAACGGGAAATAGTTTACTTTCTATTCGCATACCTACAGAATTTACACACCAAATTTCATAACGATCGGTGAAGTCGTTCCGGAGGAGTTTGCAGACAAACACTGTGACACGAGAATTTTATATATTAGAAGATTTTTACAACATAGATGTTTTTGTAATGTAATGTTTTTAAAAGTAACAATAACAAGTGTTTTCTATTTAATATTTATCAACAGCTGACTATATAGAATAAAGATTATGACACTCTCCCTCACTTATTGAGAAGAACATAAACTATTTTTGAACGATAAAGTCTCGTAACCAAGGTGGCTGTCGTCGTTGTCTTATTGGTCGTGGAGAGCGAACTGGAATGTTAACTTCTGTAGGGTGGTCTGGTTCTGGTTCAATATGGTCGGGTAATTGATCAGGATACGATGGAGTTTGGTTTGGAAGTCTTGGTACATCAAATGATTGCTTAGGTCCAAATGTTACCATCTTTTCTTTCATTACTAGAGTTGGTCTAAGCTGGTTAATGTGTCTCTTGATATTTCTTCCACTATCGAGTGTTACTATGTAATGTCTTTTTCCTAGCTTCTTCTTTATTACTCCAAACTGCCAAACTTGTCTGTTGTTACTGTACATTTGAACTTGCACTCTCCCCCTCTTGAATTGATCTGACAGGTTTTAAAACAGGCTGGATATTTGATTTAGGGTGTTGATACGGAAATATGGCATCCAGTCGAATCCTTAGTTTTCTATTGAGGTAGAGTTCAGCAGGGGTTTGGTTGCTAGCTAATGGAGTAGCTCTATAACGGAATAAGATTCTTCTCACTTTGTCTGTCAGGGTTCCAGGTTCTTCAGAAGCTGACTTTAATTTGTTCTTCAGGGTTTGTACGTTGCGTTCTGCAAGGCCATTTGTCGCTGGATGCCCAGGGGCGATGAACTTTTGGAATATGCCGTTGATCTTGCAGTAAGCTCTGAATTCTTCACTTGTAAATATTGTAGCATTATCAGAAACGCATTCTTTCGGATACCCATGTGTAGCAAATATCTTGTTTAACAGATTGATTGTGTTTGAAGATGTGGGAGCTTCCTTCAACACTTCGATTTCAGCCCATTTGGATCTTGCGTCAATACAAACAAGAAAGTAGTGATTTTCATAAGGGCCGGCATAATCTATATGTATGCGGTCCCAGTTATTTTCAGGTAGGTTCCACGGATGTACTGACACTTTAGGTGGACTTGCTTTCACTAGGGCACAACTTTTACATCCTTTAACTAGTCTTTCAATTTCACCGTCAATTCCTGACCAGTAAACATAGCGTCGAGCGAGTTGCTTCATTTTGGTTATTCCCAGATGAGTTTCATGAAGTTCACTGAGTATTTTGGAGCGTAAAGATGTTGGAATTACAATTCTGTCTTTTCGAAACAATATACCGTCAAGTAGGGTGTATTCTGAGTCAGTAGAATTGTTTTTCAGGGTTTGAACTATTCCATTCATTTCATGGTCTTTTGCGGTTTCTTCTTTGATTGTCTTTGAAGTTATTTCACGGTTGGATACTTGAAAAAGTGATTGAGAATAAAGCTGGTTCACTTCTTCCCTGATTTCTTGATCTGTTGAACTACTGCATGTTTTGACTGGAGATCTTGATAAACAATCTACATTTTGATTGCTACTCCCCTTCTTGAATCGAACAATGTAATCAAATCCGGAGAGGAATGAAGCGTATCGCAGCAGGCGAGCTGACGTCATCTGTGGTAGAGCTTTATTTTGGTGAAAAATCCTTGTCAATGGTTCATTGTCTGTAACTAAAATGAACTTCTTGCCAAGTAGGTAGTTGTAGAAATGGTTCACACCAAAGATTATCGCCAATGCCTCTCGATCAAGTTGACTATAGTTCATTTCACTCGGATTCAAAGAACGAGACGCGTATGCTATCGGACGTTCTACTCCTTCGATTTCATGACTTAGTACAGCTGCGACACCTGTAGGACTAGCATCAGTTGTCAGGATGAGGTTTAGGTTAGGGTCGAATGGAATTATCACTCTGTCACTGCAGAGTTCCGATTTGAGTTTTAGAAATGCAGATTCACAAGTAGCTGTCCACATCCATGGTTCTGATTTCTTCAGTAGACATCTGAGTGGAAATGTCATTGTAGAAAAATCTGGTACAAATCTTGAGTAGTATGTAACCAAACCCAAAAATCTTTTGAGTTCCTCGATATTGTGTGGACGTGGCATATCTTGAATCGCTTGAAGTTTGGATGGAGACTTGCTGATTTTGTTATGTTGAACAACATGACCAAGGTATTCCACTTTTTCAGTCATAAAAGTGCATTTATTTCTGTTTACATGCAAGTTGTAGTCGGACAGTCGTTGAAGACATGCTTGTAGGTTTTGAAGGCACTCATCGAATGTGTTTCCATGAACAATGATATCGTCAAAATAGGCTTCTGTTTTCTTTAGTCCCATGAGGATTTGAGATATGATCCGATTGAATTCGGCTGGAGCAGTTTTTATTCCAAAACTGAGTCTGTGGATCCTGTATGTACCTCTGTGTGTCGAAATAGTTTGAATTTGACTACTATCTTCATCAACTTGCAGGTGTAAATAAGCTTTAAATAAATCAAGCTTACAAAAGTACATAGAGTTTCTCAGGCTGTTGAGCACGTCATCGATGCGACGTATTGGATGATTTGCTTGTACTAATCTGTCGTTAACCCCACACTTGTAGTCAACGCATAGGCGGATTCCGCCGTTAGGTTTGGGTATTACAACAAGAGGTGATCCCCAATCCGAAGTTGTGACTTTGGAAATTATTCCTTCAGCTTCAAGTGTATCTAGTTCCTTTTCAACTTGTTCTCGTAGTGCATATGGCACATCTCTTTCCCTCGTAAAGATCGGTTTTGCGCCTTCTCGAAGTTGCAGGGAGACTTTAAAGTTCGGAACGCATCCTACTTTTTCTTCAAAAATGGGAGCAAAATTACTTAAAATTTCGTTTATTGA